CAAATTGCTAAATGGCACCTTGAAGCTAGGTTACAGTCGCCACAACAGAATGTCTGGGCACCTTTTTCCCCTGATGGGATTTATTATTATTATTTAGTGCATTTCTATACCACTTTATATTTAAAAAAAACAAATCTCAAAGCGGTTTGCAATGCCTTAAACATCAAAGAAAACAATCCAGGGGAAAAAACCAAATTCAAACTTCAAGGAAAATTATTTCAGATCAGATCCTTGTCTAAGTGACATTTTGCTTCCCTCGGTCACCAACCTGTCACCCAGAAATCTTCACGTGGGTTAGCGGAGTCTGTAACCTGAAGCATCTGTAACCTGAAGTGTCTGTAACCTGAGGTACCACCGTATAATTTTAAGGTACATTTGTAGCACAGTTTCTCCCTCAAAGAATTCTGGGCACTGTAGCTTGCTAAGAGTTGCTGGGAATTGTAAACTCTGCGAGGGGCAAACTAAAGTGCCCAGAATTCTTTGACAGAAAGAATGTACTTTAAAGGGACGCAGTTCCAAATTCTGCCTAATGTTAGTCCCAGGGACTTGCACAGTGCTTCAATTTCTTTCTTTCTTTTTACTGTTTCTCTCTCTCCACCCCTCATTTTTTTTTTTTAAAGGTAAATACATTGTCTTTTTGGCCTAATGTATAGCACTGCTCAGACCTTTATGGAAGACTCCATGAATTTCCCCAATCCTCTTTGAAAGCCATTAAAACTGGTGGCACCACTGCATCCCGTGGGAGTGAGTTTTATCGTTTAACTATTGCACAGCGTGAACTCTTGCACTTTCTCTTCTATCAATCCTGAATTTTCCAATCTTCAGCTTCGCTGGGCATCCAGGAGTTCGTCTTATGAGTGAGGAATGGAAATGTTTCTCCATCCACTGTCCCCAAGCCAACACTCAAAAGTTGCAGTCATGTGTTAAAAGTCTCTCTCTCCCTCCCCTCCCTCTTTTTTTTTCCTTCTGGAGGGAACAATGGCTTTCCCTGTGAGGAGAAGAGGCTCCCCACTTTGCCATCTCCTCCTCTCAGTTCTGTCTGCAAAAGGCCTGCGTTTGTCTTTTGTCTAATCCTCGTCCAAGGACCCAAAGCCTCTCTCTGACTCTGTTTCTCTTTTCCCGCCCCCTCCCAGCTAACACCATCTGGGCCCTTTGAGCCAAGGGGAAGAATGTGGGGATGTAGACATTCATGCTAAATTGGGGGGGGGGGAGGGAGAGAGAATGTTTAGTCAGCACATTGCTTCCTCACACGAGCCTGTTCTTTCGGCACATTATCAAAGAGGACTGTGGCCTGTTCTGTGGCAAATGCTATTTATTAAGCCAAATGTTCCCAGTGGAACACAGAAATCAATGCAAACACACCCACCAGCGAGGTTTAAGGGTTTGACGGCCTCTCTGAGCTGTTGCACCATCCTCTGATACAGAAGCCTTACCCCCTTAAACGCTTGCAAGTAAAGCACTCTGCCTATGCTCAGCAGCTCTCTTTAATACTTTGGGTGTTCTATGGTTGAGCATTGGATCAGATCAAATTATTTTGGCTGGGAGCCATATATAACGTTCCAGAGGAGGAGGGCAGATAACGTGGACAAGAAGTGCAGCTGGAAGAGGAACAAGATCAAGGAGGGGGCTGGACTAGATGGTTCTCAGGACCCCTTCCGACTGTACAATTCTGTGATCCTAAGGACTCCCCTCTGAATGTTGTTGGATTACAATCACCATCAGCTCCAGCCAGGATGGCCGTGTGCTAGGGATGATGGAAGTTGCAGTCAGCAACATGTGGAAGGCACAACATTGGCTACCCCTGAGGATGGGTATGAACGCAAGGTGTGCGTTTTAGCTCTGCCTATTTAGGTGTTTAGCCCCAACCCTTCCCCCTAAGGAAATTTGGCCTATTGGGAGGGGAGAAGCTCTTACACTTAAAACACGTCTCCCTCCGCAAAAGAAATAAATCTTGGAAGCTGCGGTTTTGCAATAGTTGAGTGTGGATTTCATGCTCTTTCTTCAGCTCATAGTAGTGAGGGGGAATGGAAGTTCCCCTGAAATGTCTGCTTTATATACATTCTTTACACAATGGGCCCCACATGATTGGCTAGTTCCGGGATTCTCCTGTAGGCCAATCAGGTTGCGGATCCACTCCCACCTGGAGTTGGATTGGGTGGCTCCTGCGGACCAATCAGACTGCTGCATTCTGAATCCTATTGTTCTAGGACCAATCAGACTGCTGCAATTTGGATCCTATTCAACTCAGTACATAACAGGTTTATGCCTACAGAGCTACAATTCCTGGTACCCTTTAAAAAAACTGCAGTTCTCAGAATTCTTTGCAGGAAGCCATGCACTTTAAATGCACAGTGCATACATGGCCCTAGGGCGGCAAAGCACATGTTCTGCACCCCTGAGCTTCCCCACCCTACTTCCTTTCTTCCACTTGTTCCAGTGGGGGGTTCACAGCCCACGTTGGCAAGAGAGCCCTCCTGCCTTATTCTGCCATGGGGCCTCCTGCCCAGCTGGGACCACAACAGCACCAGGCCTCTCAGGGTGCTCAGAGGAACCCACACGACTCATGCGCTTAAGTGTTTATGTTGGCCAAAGAAGTCAGTTTATGCAAGTGCCTGCTTGAAGTGTGAAAAGGCCACTCGTCGTCTCTTTACAGAGTGTAAACACGCTGCCCTGATGTATTTATGGAACGTGTTGGGACAGTAATTTTTAGAAAGGCATGATGGCCCGCCTCGCAAGCGCGGGGCTCTTTGGCATTAGCCAGGAATGTCTCTGGAGTCATTCCAGCACCAGGTATAGCACCTTGAGCTTCTTGGAGGAAGAAAAGGTGGGGCATAAATGCAATATATAAATGAATGAATGAATGAATGAATGAATGAGAAAGACAGAGGAAAAACCTAAACAGGAGGATAATTAAAAGGTAATAATAAAAATAAATAATAGTAAAACAATAAAATAAAATAATAAAATATTTTTTTTAAAAAAGTAAAACCCCATAGTGCCAAGGGATTGGACTGGATCAAGATAGTAGTTCCCTTAAGAGCTGCAGTATGTCTTAGTCCTTCCTTTGTTTTGCTTAAATTTGGAGGGGTATAAAACACCTAGGCAAGAGTTCCACAGGTGGTGCATCCCAGCACACCTCCACACTCACGCTGCCAAACCCTGCAATCTGCTTGCCACCCAACTCCTTCATCATCAGCATCCAACGCAATAATACCAACCCAAACTATCACTTAGCCCAGGGGTCTGCAACCTGCAGCTCCGGAGCCACATGTGGCTCTTTTACACACATTGTGCGCCCCGACACTCCCCACTGTGGCGGGCGCTGTACTGGCTGTTTCATTGCATGGGGGCGGTGCGTGCGTTACGATCCTGTATATATAGCATTAAGGTAAAAAACAATATATGCAGTGTTATATTTGTTTTAAATGCCGCAATGGTTTTGTGGCTCCCAGTTTTTTTTTCCTTCGGAAACGGGTCCAAGTGGCTCTTTTTGTCTTAAAGGTTGCAGACCCCTGACTTAGCCTTTGCACAGCGCTTTCAAGGCGTCCAAAGCACTTCACACGCATTTTATCTATAGTTATAATCCTTAACAGCAGCCTGTAAGGTATGATGATACCACTAAACCCTTTTGCAGACAGGCAGACTGAGGCTGGAATAAAGCCATCTTCTGTATAGCGAAGCTCGCAGCAGGCATGAAATCTGAACGAGGGACTTCCTGATTCACAGCTCTTTCAGCCACTAACCTTCCCAGCAATACTAAAAGGTTTGTTGGTGTTGGTGTTTAGCCATGTCCGACTCTTCGTGGCCCCATGGACCAGACCACGCCAGGCACTTCTGTCTTCCACGGCCTCCCGCAGTTTGGTCAAACTCGTGCTGGTAGCTTCGAGAACAATGTCCAACCATCTCGTCCTCTGTCGTCGTCCCCTTCTCCTTGTGCCCTTCATCTTTCCCAACATCAGGATCTTTTCCAGGGAGTCTTCTCTTCTCATGAGGTGGTCAAAGTATTGGTTACATATGCTTCAGGTTACAGACTCCGCTAACCCAGAAATAGTGCTTCAGGTTAAGAACTTTGCTTCAGGATGAGAACAGAAATCGTGCTCTGGCGGTGCAGCGGCAGCAGGAGGCCCCATTAGCTAAAGTGGTGCTTCAGGTTAAGAACAGTTTCAGGTTAAGAACAGACCTCCGGAACGAATTAAGTACTTAACCCAAGGTACCACTGTACGGACCTTTGTTGGCTAAGTGATGTCTCTGCTCTTTAAGATGCTGTCTAGGTTTGTAATTGCTTTTCTCCCAAGAAGCAGGAGTCTTTTAATTTCGTGGCTGCTGTCACCATCTGCAGTGATCATGGAGCCCAAGAAAGTCTCTCACTGCCTCCATTTCTTCCCCTTCTATTTGCCAGGAGGTGATGGGACCAGTGGCCACGATCTTCGATTTTTTGATGTTGAGCTTCATCCATATTTTGCGCTCTCCTCTTTCACCCTCATTAAAAGGTTCTTTAATTCCTCCTCACTTTCTTAGTATTGTTTTAAAAGCAGCAACCTCGCAGCATTGTCCTGGCTGCCGTCCTGCTTTTGCGCGCGCCTGCAAGAGCGCGATCAGCAGGGGAAGCGCCCTCTCTCCCCGCCCTTCTCCCTCCCCTCCGGCTCCCAACCAAAACAACACCGCAGGACTACAACTCCCAGCATCCTCCTCGGCAGCCGTGACCTGGACCCCAGCTGATATTCAAAGCTGGCTGGAAAGCGAAGCTCAGAAGAGGAGAGCGCTAGTTTGCAGCGCGGCTGCTGCTGCTGCTGCGACTGACCCCGCATCGCCGCCACCCACCTTCTTCTGCCGCCCTTTTCTCCTCGCTCCCTAGGGGGAAATAAACTCATTTTCAATTTTTTTTCCTTTTTGTGGGGGAGAGATGCACTTTGGGACCCTTTTGCACTGATTACTATCATTAAAAATAATAATAATAATTAGTGCATGCAATTGGAAAGGGAATTCATTCTGCCCAACGTCGTCGGGGCTTGATCGGGCAGCGGAGGCGGAAGGTCTAGCTCCGGCCCGGCCCTCGACCCGCTTCCCCGGCCCTCGCTTGCCCTCCCTCCGAGAGTCGCCGCGCCAGCCCCCCCCCCGCCTCCCCGATGCCGAGGAATGGATAGAGCGTCTGCCGCGCGGAGAGGAGCCGAGAGGATGGTGGAGAAGAAAGAGTGCGCCGCGGGCCGGACGGCAGGGGCAGCGGGGGCCGGAGGAGGAGGAGGAGGTGGGCGCAGCGGCCGAGCCCCCCCGGACGGCCTGGCCTCCGGACGCCCCGGCCGGGCCGGCTGCGCGCTGCAGCAATGCGGGCAGCTCCAGGACCTCATCGACATCTCCCTGTCCAGCCTGCAGGGGCTCCGCACCAAATGCGCCGCTTCCAACGACCTCACCCAGCAAGAGATCCGCACTTTGGAGGTACGCGGAGGGCGCCCCCTCTTTCCGCCAAAGGGGGTTGCCTTGGTGCCAGCTCCCCAGGGGGTCCTCTACCATCTCCTCGCTTTCCTCCCCGCCCCCCCCCCGCAGCTAGCTTCCGCGGGAATTAATGAATTTTTGGGGGGTGGCTGGGTGCGGGTTGTGCGCGCGCGCCTTGATTTCCTCTCTCCCACCGATATGCGCGGACAATTGTCACAAAAGAATCTCTGGGTCCCTTTCCTGAGCTGGCAGCGCAATCGCCTCCCTTAGGGAGACAACCCTCTTATTTATCCTTGTTATTGATAGGTATATTGCGTTTAATAATAAATAATAAGCTTCATTATTATAAATATGTACGCCGCATGCACTCTTCTTGCTGGGCACTGAATTTATTATTATTAATACTAGGATTAGGTATTGCGGTTTATTGGATTTTCCTCCTTTTTTGTAATGGGACCAGCATGGCCACTTGCGATTAAAAATAAAAACAAAAATTGAAAAGCTATACCTTTCTATTTCCCCATGCATTCCCCCCCCCCCCGGTAGTGATTATATTGGCAGAATACAAATATTCTGTCCTCTCAGTGCAAGCCTGTATGCATATCTGCTTGGGAGTTGGCCTCGCTGAGTTCAATGGAACTGACTCCCAGGTAAGTGTGTATCTACAATAGGAATCCCCTAAGCTTTTGGGGCTACCTACCAGGGGCATATTTTGAAATTGAGAAGACAAACCAACCTGTTGTTGGGCACCATCAAATACCCATTTCACAGGGAAAAAGCTGTATGTTTGCAGCCTTGAGGACAGATAGCTCCTGCAGTAGTACGCTGTTTGCCAAAGAAACAGTGCCCTTCCCCTCAGTGAATGCTTTTATTTACTAAAACTGCAATGCTCTGCACACTTACCTGGGAGTAAGTCCCATCCAACTCCTTGCGGACTTTGCTTCAGAGAAGACATGTATTGCGACTGCACGGTTAAGGATTTTATTATTGGTGGTGGTTTTTTTGCTCTGACACAAAAGTCGTGCTCTACGAAACCTGTGAAAACAACAAACAAACCCCAATCTTAATCCACCAGTAATTTGCCCCGTTCCAGTCAATAAAGCCATAGCTGCAGGTTGGAAAAATTCACTGCCAACATCTTAAACATGGTTAAAAGGTTTGTTTTTTTTAAAAGAAGCAATGGTTTATTTTCCAGGAAAAGGTGTGTGTCGGTGTGTGCTAACCCCACACTCAGAAAAGGAAGTGATGTCTGCACTGTGCAGTGGGGGGGGGGGCGGAGGTTTATGACTGCCTTGTTGCAACACTTGCTTTTTCAGAGGGGAGGGGCGCTGTCTGGCTGCTTTATACAATGGTGTTTGTTTAGGATTCCTTGGCCTGTCCTTCTGTTCTCTTCTTTTCCTCCCCACCCGACCGCCCCCTTTTTGCTGGAGAGGGCATGCACTCTCAGTTCTTGGGGTAGGATTTATCTTGTGGGGTGGTGGTGAAGGGAAACATGGAGAGAGAGAAAAAAACCTGCTCCCCTTTTAGCTGCCATCATGCATTTTTTTCCATTCAGCGACGTTCCAGAGAAAGGACAGAAGGATATGTCCTATGGATGTGCATTGAATGCAGGCAACCTGTCTCTCAAGCCGTGTGTCTTTTAGTAAAGTAAAACCACCCCTTCTGCACATGGCCCTTACCTACCCTGGCCACTGGCCTGGAATTTGGCAACACAGCTGGAGATAGTGGCTACATTGTGTGGGGGGGTCCCCTCCCGCCTCTACAATTCTACAATTCCACCTACATACCATACATTTAAAGCGCATTCCCCCTGTAAAGGGGGCTTTTGCGTCTAGCGTCCCACCCTGTGAAGAATCCTGAGAACTGCGGCTTACTCCCACAGAGCTACAATTCCCAGAACCCAGAACAAACCCCAGTTCCCGGGATTCTCTGAGAAGCGTGGCTGCTTTTTAAATATAATGGTGCGTATGTAAGCCACTTTGCCTGTAATCTTGGGTGGTATTTAATTTCTGCTGTACTAGCTATGGAAGGCAACGGTACGACTGCTTCCTCTTTGGATTAAAAAAGATAAAATAGAAGGTAGAAGACTCTGGGGGCACTGGAGTCATTTTAGCCTCTGGACGTATGCGGTGGGGACTCGTAATGTGGCAACCGGCTCTGCTTCATTTTGGTTTCCTTCAAAACGTGGCAAGCCTGTCCAGCTGCATTTTGGGGGGCGGCTCCTGTTCAATCTGTTGTGGGGGGGGGCTCCCCCCTCGGCTTCTCAAAGTAGGGATGGCACTGCTGAACTGAGGGCGGAGGGCAAACCTTCCTGCCCCAAATGGAGCAGATTGGAGAGAGCGCCTTGAAGCAGCTCTGCAGCTGTGTTGGAGGGCTAGCAGCTGCTTCTTGCCAACTCAGACCATTGAGCCTATCTTACCATAGTATGTTTTGAACTGACTAGCAGAGGCTCTCCAGTGTTTCAGACCAGCAGACTTCCCCAGCTCTGCTGAGCTATGGCTCTTCCATGTAAGATGGATTTGCTCTGTCTGGTAATATCTGGGAGCAACTGTGTGCGTTCTCAGGTGGCTTCAATGCTATTGGCAAATTCCTTAACTTGGTTTCTTGGGGAGTGGGGCTTATAATCCATGCCTGCTATCAGCGATAGAAATTAGCCAGGCGCCAGGCGCGTTTTGCGACTGGTGCAGATCCAATAGTGACCACGTGAAGATTTCTGGGTGACAGGTTGGTGACCGGGGGAAGCAAAATGTCACTTAGAGAAGGATCTGATCTGAAATAATTTTCGTTGAAGTTTGAATATGGTTTTTCCCCCTGGATGGTTTTCTTTGATGTTTAAGGTGTTGCAAACCGCTTTGAGATTTGTTATTTAAAATATAAAGTGGTATAGAAATGGACTGAATAGTAATAATAATAATGATAAATCCCATCAGAGGGAAAAAGGTGCCTTGACATTCTGTTGTGGCAACTGTAACCTAGCTTCAAGGTGCCATTTAGCAATTTGCTTATACAGTGGTACCTCGGGTTACATACACTTCACGTTACATACGCTTTAGGTTACAGATTCCGCTAACCCAGAAATAGTACCTCGGGTTAAGAACTTTGCTTCAGGATGAGAATAGAAATCGCAGCGTGGCGGCGGCAGCGGGAGGCCCCATTTGCTAAAGTGGTACCTCAGGTTAAGAACAGTTTCAGGTTAAGAATGGACCTCCAGAACGAATTAAGTTCTTAACCTGAGGTACCACTGTACAGCTGCGTTTCTAATACTGCCCAATATGGCATTTAGCCTTAAGAGGGTGTGCATATTTTCTAGTAACACAGGGATGGGGACCTGTGACTCTTCAGATGTTCTTGGACTCCAACCCTGGTGAGCCCCAGCAAACATGGCCAATGGTCAGGGATGATGGGAGTTGTAGTCCAACATCTGGCGTGCATCACGCTGGATATCCCCATAATAACAGCTGCTTCTGTGGGGAGCATGTTCCCCTCCAGATATTGCTGGACCACAACTCCCATCATTCCTCCCCATTGGCCATTCTGGCCAGTGGTTGACAGGAGTTTTATCAACATCTGGAGGGCCAAAGGGTCTCCACCCCTGTTTATTATGGATCAACATCCCCTCCACTGATACCCTTTGATTGTGTACTGTCTTTGGATTCCAATGCTATGAGGCCTAGTTAATTCCAGGAATTCCAGGAATATGAGGCCCAGATTTGGGGGGCGGGCTTGGATTAGATGCCTTGCAGTTTCCCCACTTTCTCCCCCCTATTGCTGCTGCTACTGCTGCCCAGACACTTGCCTTCTTTCCTTGAGCACAATCCAGAGGCAAATAGAGAAATCTGTTTCATAACCTCACTCTGGGCCCTTCCTCCCTTGCTGAAAGAGGAAAGGCAGACAGGCAGCCATAGCAAGTCAGAGGAGGAGCAAGATGGCGGAAGAGGCTCCAGAAATTGGCAATGGCAGTGCAGGCCTCAGCGAGTGCCCAACACTGCTTATTCTTTGTGCTGGCTGTGGTGGAGTCAATTAGATTAATTCCCCACCAGGGAATATAGAATTGGAGGATGGTAGCTAACTCATTGCTTGGAGTCTGTTTTTACATGTTTGACTCTTCTGAATTTCTGTTTTCCTAGAATTGTAGAGTTGGAAGGGGCCAACCCCTACAATCCAGGAATCTTTTGCCCAACATGGGATTCGAACCCACGACCCTGAGATTAAGAGTCTCATGCTCTCCCCATTGAGCTATCCCAGAAAATTTTCATTCACCTTGATATATTTATTTTGCAAATACAGTGGTACCTCCAGTTACCAACTTACAGTGGTACCTCGGGTTACATACGCTTCAGGTTACATATGCTTCAGGTTACAGACTCCACTAACCCAGAAATATTACCTCAGGTTAAGAACTTTGCTTCAGGATGAGAACAGAAATCATGCTCCAGCGGCGCAGCGGCAGCAGGAAGCCCCATTAGCTAAAGTGGTGCTTCAGGTTAAAAACAGACCTCTGCAATGAATTAAGTACGTAACCAGAGGTACCACTGTAATTCGTTCCGGTGGTCCGTTCTTAACCCGAAACCGTTCTTAACCTGAGGCGCGCTTTCGCTAACGGGGCCTCCCGCTGCCACCATGCCGCCACTGTGCGACTTCCGCTCGTATCCCGGGGCAAAGTTCACTACCAGGAGTAACTACTTCCGGGTTAGCGAAGCTCGTTACCCGAAGCATTTGTAAGGAGGACAGTACGTAACTTGAGGTTCCACTGTGAATACTGTAAGAAAACCTCTAAAGTCATTTGCAAAAATAGATGCATGGTTTGTTTTTGTTTTTTTAAATATTGCTGTTCTGCTGCTTTGAGCTTACACTTTAAGGCTATATTGTTTGCTTTTAGAGTACATGCCACGTAGCGGGGGTTTTTTTGGGGAAATATTCCGTGATATATAAATGCTTTTAAACAAACAAATGCATAAGTAAGGTTGGAGACTGAGCGCTTGGCGACCCACGAGGCTGTTGGG